TACTTCGGCGGCGCGTTTCGCTTCCGCTGTCGAAGACGAGCGTGTCGCTGCTTTTCGTGCTGTTGGAGCGTTGACCATATTGGACATTCCAAGAAAGAAGGTTTCGGCGCGTGTGGATGTATTTGACCAAAATAACCATGAGGAGAACTCCGCTGCCGCTCAGACAGAAACCCACTGGCAAAAGGGTTAGATGCAGTTGATGTACAACGGGGTAAGGAGACTTACTGATGCCATCAGCCAACACTAGAAAGGGTACTGTCTGCTTCTGGACAGCCTCGAGTCGTAGAATTCCCATCAAGATCGCGGGTAACAAGATAGCAATGGCTTTTTCGAAGTAGTTTACTCGTTTGCGAGTCGACTTTACGGGCTCCAATTGGAAGATCGATTGTGTGAGAGCAACTGCCCAAAAAAAGGTCAGGGCCGCTTCGACGTTGTAACTGTAGAACTCTAGGAGCTTGTCAGAGAAAGGTACGAAATCTGTTGGCGAATTGGATCTTACGGATATAGAAAAGTACCAGGTCCAGGCCAGTTGACTGGCCGGCGATGGCAAGCTCAGGATTGCCGACGTTGGCGTTTGAATGCTTGAATTGTGCAAGCTTGATGTCTCTCCATCGTACAATTGTGTGAATTTGCTGGGCTACAGAAGCAGCCGTCGACAAACCAGTGAAGTATGATACCAGGGCGACATCTGTTCACAAGAGCGCACGTCAGTATCCTGAATCACTTCCTGGATCCACAACCCATGACTACTCACAGCTAAGGCCTTCACGATGGGCATACACCAGCCATGCCATGAGAACACTGCATGCTAGGCAGAACAAGGAGTAAGAAAGTACTCCTATAGCTGTGCCTAGCTCTTCTTGAGGCAGCTGAATGGCCATATCACCCCCTTGGATGTTGGCCCAGCAGGCCAGACATGAATACGGAGCTGTTGACCGCAGGCAGGGAACAAGGTGACGGGGGACGAGGAGAAAGAAGAAATTAAGAACTGGGGAGCAAGCAACGGCATGGCCATGTTTATCATGCGGCCCTGAGATCGATCCGCCCCCTGCGATCGACGCAAGGTTGTCTCCCCGGACCCGACTCAAGAGTAATGGAAAGGGAACCCAAGATCGGTCGGTTTGGACATAGGCGCCGACGAACCTTGTTCGGTGCTCGCAACGATATGAGGTGTGCTACGCAGACGCAGGCGGTTAAATGACGAGATGGGACTTCCCAGCATTCCAGAGACAGGGCAAGGGAGTTTGGGCCGACTTGAGAACCGCAAGCCCCCCTACAGCGTATAGCCGGCGGACTAGAAATGTCTTGGCTGGGGATCCTACGAGGGGGTGGTGGCGGGGCCGCTCGGGATGGTAATGAAGAGTTTTACCTTGTTGTAGGGTGGATAATAAAGGTTGAAACACGATAGTGTACGAAGGCGATCTCCAGAACAATATTACAACCAGGTCGAAATGGCTTCGGAGGCTGTCCATTCGGATATGTCATGGCGAGACAGATTGACATTGTGACGGCATTCTAGCTGGCTTCTGGGTGCGATTCTGGCGGCATCTGCCGACCACAGACTCGGTGGCTGCTTGACCCGAGATGAAAACGTTGGACGCCACGCTCCATCTAATAGAAGACATCACTAGTTTGCGTGGGTTAGGCCGAAGCAGCAGTGCGCAAGCGTCGTCGCAACTGTTGCGGAATACAAGTCCATAGGCCGACCAAGTGTCAAACTAAAGGCTGCTAGAGGGTAAGTGGCATGGCAACGTACGAGTTCGACCGAACTCTTCGCCTCCCATATTGAGACCAACCACAATTGTCGCTGGGGTTTGAGGCAACGATGGCTCGAAACATGTCTGGTAAGTGGAGGCGCGTCCTCGAGGCAAGATTCGTTGCCGACTGAGGGTGTGTGGACTGACGGACGTTGCGGAGGGGTCTCCCGGACCAGCCTCAACCCGGTAGAGGCGACCGGGCCGATGGGAGGCAACATACTGCGTATGGCAACCCCCAACAATGCGATGCCATTGGAATTGATTGGAGGCTGCACTGTTGTCGACAACGAATTCGAGTCAGTCGGTGGCTGAAAACACAGTTTCCATCTTCTGGAAGACAATCTCCCCTTAAAGGAAGGTCCGAACATGTCAGAGTTTCGACCAGTTCGATACGATGCTCATCATATCATCTCATTGTTGAGCTGAGTTCGATGGCAGGGGAGCATGCCGCCTACCGAGTGCTCGGTGCTTGGGCTCATAGAGGGACAGGGTGAATCCATGAAGGTGATTGGGGCTAGTGGTTTTGTATTAACCTTGGTCCTCCTGAGTCAGAAATGAACACGAAAAAGGCCTTACACCACTGCCCAATCTAGCCCGAGCGACGGACGTGGCTTCGGGTGTTGGACCCAAGAAGGCAAGCAGCGAAATCCTAGTGCTAAACCAAAAAGCAGGTTTAGTCGCGGAGGCGCAGATTGTTGAGATGAAAGGCCGACGGCGTGTGGTGTCAGTCCTGCCATTACTGCTAGAAGGAAGGTTGCTGAACGTCTGCCGCGACACAATTTTGGATCTAAGGCATATCGAGTCTGCGTAACGGTCGGACCACTCCCACGTGCTGATGAGTGAGCCGGCTCCAATAAAGAGCGAGTGCGAGGTCGAGATTGTATTAGAGCTGAACCTTGGAGGGAGCCCGGCGGGTGTGAGTATGATCGGCAGTCACAGCAAAGTGCCGTGTCGTCGGCATGTGGCGTCTTCGTCCTGTAAGCTTGTGAGAGAGAGCAAGGTTCGTTCGCTGGAATGAACTTCAGCTGCTGCCCGAAGGAGCCATGCACACCATGCACTCTCCAACCTGCTGCCCAGCAAGAAGGTTGGTGTTCAGGGGTTGAAGGATCTGGAACTCCACTCGGAGCGAGGATCCCGTCCAGAATGGACCCAGAGCCACGGAGAGGCCCTGCCCGCTGGCCGATGCGCAGTGCAATTTGGGAAAGGAAGATCTCATTCCAAGAAGATGGAAATTCTCCGGCGAAGTACCGCAGCCTTCTTCCAGCCACTTTGTGGCTCACCAACGGTCTCCACTTTAACTTCCTCTCAGGTCTCTATGTACATACTTTGGTGGAAGGCACGGTGGGGTCCCCAGAAGCTCTGGCTTTCAATTACTGTGTAGTTCTTCACCAGCGAAGCGCGTCCCGGTCGCGTCTAGAGGCATTCCCCCGCGAAAACCTTAGCGACTCGCAAAAGCCTCTAGGACATGCCAACTACGGCCGTTATGACACGCTGTCAAACCCCCAGATACACGATTCAGTCTTAAGCCTTACCACGCCGAAATGAACATTGTCCGAGAACACTACAACGATGGCAACCGTGCCTTCCTTCAAGCCTTCCTGGCTCGGGGCACCCTCACATACGAAGACGCACAGCCTATCCTTGCCGGAATCTTCACCATCGAAGCCCAAGATGGCGAGCCAGTCGCCCCCGAACAGGTCACGGTGGAGGACTTCGACTCTTACCTGCAAGCTGCAGCCGAAGGCGTCTCCTTCTTTGACTACGAGATACGAAGCACGATCCATCAAGTCACCAAGAAGCGCATCTACGCTCTCGTGAACACCGCCTCCGACCCCATGACGCAGCTGGCGACCACATTCAACGCAGAACAGATTGCCTTTACAAAGAGATTATTGGACGCCATGTTCGAGACATATAACTCCCCGCGCATGGAGCTCATGTGCATCACGGAGATGCAGGCTATCAAGCTGGCCCGCCCTCCTCGACAGAACAACAATCATAACGACGAGAACGGAGAACCCACGCAGACGCAGTCTTCCTCGGACAAGGGACTTAAGCACAGCGAAGTGGAAGACATGCTGGCGAACCTAGTGAACCAGGGTTGGTTAGAGAAGTCCAAGGACGGGTTCTACAGCCTCAGCCCAAGAGCACTGCTTGAGCTCAGGGCATGGCTGATTGACTCGTTCAACGACCCCGACGCGGCCGCGCAAGATTGGCAGCGCATCAAGTTCTGCGAGGCGTGTAGGGAAATCGTCACAGTTGGACAACGGTGCGCGGAACGAGACTGCAACGCGCGCCTGCACAATACATGTCAAGAAGGTTACTGGCGCACTCAACGGAGTCACAAGTGTCCCAGGTGCTCAAAGGACTGGGATGGTGAACACTATGTTGGAGAGCAGGCTATGACCAGCACAGAGGCATATCAAAGGGGCCGCCGGAGGAGTGGAGGTGGCAGGAAGAGTAATGCGGCAGACGAAGTCATGCACGAAAACGGGGAGCATGGAGACGAAGAAGAAGAAGACGAGGATGAGGCATGATGAAGCATAGAAAGATGTGGAAGCCCTACCCGCGGGATGCGATGGGCAGTTGCCATACAAGATACCCCAAGATGGCGGCTAACTCAGCCGAACCACTCAATATTTACCAATAGCATACAACACCTTACATAACGCCCAGACAACTGTCAAAGGGGACTGGATGAGCCGCAATGCTCTTAGAGGTTTTTCATTTGCCCATACCAGCCCCAACAAAAGAGGCGAATTCTGAACGGGTGATCATTCATGCTCATCCATTGGATGCCTCCGGCGCAACCTCAAACAACTGGACCGCTCTTAAGCGAACCGGCAGCTGTATCCGGATCTCCACTCTTGTCCATTGCACCGCCACATCGGAGGCCGCTGCAAGGGTGACATCACATGTGGCTGTGTGAGCTACCCCCCAGCTTGCCCGCTCAACCAATCTAACACATGAACTTGGACGACGTGACGCCGCATGATAGAGCGCAGGGCCCTGGCCCAGACCCAGACCGCATGTGATTCAGAACAAGCGCTTGGCCGTTGTAATAAAATAAACCTGTTCCGGCCGCCTCATTACAACGCTCTTGCATCTTCCTCGAGGAAACTACAGCTTCTTTGCCGTGATTATTTGTCGACAGCATATTGAATCACAGAACTTGTCAACCAGTACGCCACCCTTAGACTCTGTTGGTTTCTCCCCAGAGAAACCTAAACTTCGTCGCCCAAGATGTTGGAATACCTGAGCTACAAGAAGTTCAAAAAGTACAAGACAGAGAAGGAGGCAAAAGAGGCGGCAGCAGCAGAAGGCGAGGTGGAACACAACAACGGTTCGCCAGCACCATTACCATCACCAGGCAAGCTTCACCCAGACTCGCGACCATCAGCCACAAGGCGCCAAACGAGCTCGCAGTCCGTCTCGACAACAGCAAGCGCAGCGACAGGAGGCGGAGGCCCCGCGCCTCTCCTCAACCGCAAAGATGAGGCCTTCTTCAGACGCATCCTCGCCGACGCCAACGACGTCGACTCGGACGACGAGAGCGTCCGGCCCGCCCTGCCCCCGCGCAGCAAGACGCCAGAGTACATCTGGGAGGACTCTGACGGGTCCCGGCGCACCGCCGCCGCCGCCGAGAAGCAGACGCCCAAGAAGGCCGCGACAGTAGCGGTAGACCCCAAAGACGCAAATGCCTCGGGCAGCAGTTCCAAAATTCCCAGCAAGATCGCCTTCCTCTTCAACAAGGCCAAAGGAACCCTCGACGACAAGGACAAGCAGCTTGCCCCAACAAAGGCAAACGTCCCACCAAAGGAAGCCGCCCGCGAAGAAGACGACCTCTCCCGCGTGCTCGACGACCTCAACCTGTCAGCGCGCAACAACAAAGCCGTGCCCTTATCCGCAGAATCCTCCGAGCTCGTCTCCAAATTCACCCTCGTCCTAAAGGACCTCGTCAACGGCGTGCCCACCGCCGCAGACGACCTCAAGGCCCTCGTCGAGGACCGCGACGGCACCCTCGCAAAGACGTTTGACAAGCTCCCCAACAGCATGAAGAAGCTCGTCACCCAGCTCCCGGACAAGTTCACCGCCAGTTTGGGACCCGAGGTCCTCGCCGCCGCCGCGAAAGCACAGGGCGTCAACCACGCGGAATTCGCCGCCGAGGAAGGCATCAAGGGCGCCGCGAAGAAGATGTTCACGCCCACGAGCCTCGCGGACCTTGTTACCAAGCCGGGCGCCGTCGTGGGCATGCTCAAGGCCATCGTCAACGCTCTCAAGCTGCGCTGGCCGGCCTTTATCGGCGCAAACGTCATCTGGAGCGTTTCCATCTTCCGTAAGTCTTTTCTACCCCTTGACCAGTCCTTCGTCTTCAAGAATCAGGAGTAGAATGCTAACATGATTCCCCTCAAAAGTCCTCCTCTTCGTCCTTTGGTACTGCCACAAGCGCGGCCGCGAAGAACGCATCAAGCGCGAAAACGCGCCCGAAATCATCGACGGCTCCGGCCGCATCGAAGAACTCCCCGATGACCCGGCCCTCATGGCGGGTCCCTCCCGCTCGCGCACCGAGCCGGTGGTGCGGTCATCAGATCGTCCGCGCAGCCAGCGCAGCGAACGCAGCCGGCGGAGCGGCCGACACAGCTCCGGACGGACGACGCCTCAGCGACGGGCGTCGCCGGGCCCCGATTCCCCTAGACGGAGGTCGACAAGGAAGTAAATAGGGGCGGGGGGGGGCTGTCGCGTGCTTTGGAAGTTGACCGACTTTTCTTCCTTTTCCACAATTCTTTTCTTTTATAATGACCCTTACGGCTGGCGTCTCCTTGAACTCTGCGACGAATGATTCAGAACGATGTTTGAATGAAATGGACAGGCAAGGATGAGAACTACATGATGAGAGATGAAATATATTCAGTCTCGTTCCATATATTTTTTTACCATCCTTACCCTCTGGAAAATTAAACACCCTCTATGTGGAGAGGACATTTTCCCTACTCAATGTTTCTCACCCAGTGATAGATTCAATGTACAGCTATGAATTGGAATGCAAAGACTTTCATAATCGCAAAGTCTGTCTGGGTATCTTCCGGAGCGCAAAACAGAAAAAGAATTGCCTACTGTGTCTCACAACATTGCCTCCCCCATCGTGAGGGTCATCCCTTCTAATCGTCCTGAACCAACTCCTTAATCTCCTCGCGTCCACCAGCAGCAAGACTGCCCGTCTGACCAGCCTTCTCGCCCCCCTGACCGAAACGATCAATGACTTTGCAGCCATCCTGGACCCAAAAGTCAACCTCGTCAATGATGTCATAGACGATATCTTCGACAATCTGCTCCGTGTACCGCTCCGAGACCGGCCGCACCTGATCCAGACCAGGGTACGCGGGCACCAAGGATGACGCTGCTACCTTCTTGGATTCTTCCTGTCCGGCGTCGATCATGGACACCTCATTGTCGTCGGGACTCTCTTCTAGCCCGGGAGGCGGGAACCAAAAGTCGGGGCCAAAGTTGACCTCGGCAGCACCGCCTCTGAAGACGCTCACGGCGGGATAGTAGCCGAGCATACCATTGTCGAGGCCCTCGCGAGCACCGATCTGTCCCTGCGGCTTAGAGGCCGGGGGCAGGAAGGCGAGAAGGTCGGTGAAAGGGGTGCCCATGAGCACGCCGTTCTTGTACACCTTGATGAAGGATCCAGGAAGCGTACGGAGGGCAGGGACGACGTGGTTAGGGTTGGGCGGTTCGACCGAGTTGGCCGGGCCGGAGGAGACAGGCGAAGGGTTCATGAGGTCCTCGAGCTCCTTGGTTGTGTGGTAGTCAATCTTCTCAAAGTAGATGTGCGACTTGAAGCGAATGGGGATGCGATCACGGACGATATTGGGCGCATCAAAATTTGTGCTGTCATAGTCCAAGCCGGTATCAACGGCCGGGTTGTACTGACCAGCCAGGACCTTGCGCTGCAGGCGTTCCGAAGGCAGCTGGATCTCCAGGCCGATGACATCGCCCTCCCGGATGCCCTCTCCCTCGGGGAAGAAGGACTTGGGTCGTGACATGTAAACCTTCTCGCCTCCAACGTCGCGCAAGCCGTAACTGTATGCGTCGAATCCTACTGGCGCATCCAAAGTTGCCTCTCTTCTCGCGAAACCCATGCGCACGTGGCCATGCGACTCGGGCTTCTCGTCTCCGCTTGTCTTGTCGACAATTCCTCTTGTAATCTTGGTCTCCCAGTAGAACCGTCCCTCCCGAATAGCGACATTCGCGCGCGTCATACGGAAACCCTTGTTGGTCGTAATATGAAGGCCCGTCTGGTCAAAGAACAGATGAGTTGCGCTGTCCTCGAAGCTGAGATGAGGCCCTGTGGGCTCTGCTTCGGTACCTCGGTAGTATAGTGCTGAGGGGAATCCGGGGTCCGCTATACAGTGAGTGTAGTGGTAGCTTTTCTTATTGTGAACACTTTGGTCTCGTTAGCATTTTCAGTCAGAACTCCGCTGTCGGCAAACTCACTGCTCCGACGTCTCGTAGAACTGGATCTCGCTTCCATCCAAAGCAGGGACGTTATGGTGATGAGTGAAGCTGGCGCCGCGAGCAGGTTCAAAGTCGGAAGGCTTGGGAGGCGCCAGCTTGTAGCGCATCGGACTGTAGTCGGACTGCTTAGGTTCGCGATGCTTGGGGTCCGGCGTGCCGCGGTTGCTGTCGCCGCCAAAGGCGCCCTTGGATTCGCGCTTCTTCAGCGACTCCTTCTTATTGCGCTTTGCTGGCATCTCGTCGGCGCCTGGAGGTTTTGGTGTAGATCTGACGTCGGGATTGAGTGGCGAAGGTACAGAAGGAGTAAAGTCTTCTTCGAGAGCAGGTCTCTTCAAGGGGATCGCAGTTGAAGATGGAAGGGAGCCGCCCGGGGTCGGCTCCCGTGGAGGAGGCGTGCCTGAATCAGAGGCCATTGGAACGTCTATTCAATTCGAACGTGAAGTTTCCTTGTGTATTCAAGCCGTGAAAGTGGGTGCGCGGTTGGATGGGTGCTGCAGTGGGTGGAGGAGTGGTGAACAATGGAAGAGTTTCGAGGTCTTGGTTCCTGTCGCGAGGCGCGTGTTTCACAGGTCGAAATTTTGGGAGCTGCACCAGGGAAGCTTCAGCACACCCCGCGTCAGCCATGGAAGCTGGGTCTGTCGTCACGCAGGGGGGGTCTTAGCGGGTAGCCAGGGGTCTAGTTCCTCCCCCGGCCATCAATAGGCACTTGGGCTAGAACCTGGCGGGGCAGGCAGGTAGGTACTACAGGTTGCTGCATATGACACCTAGCTGGAGCTTGGTCATCCCAGAGAACCAACCTGGAAAGCTTACCTTATTACAGCCTCTCTCACATGTCTTTCACAAGAGGTTTTGTTTGGTGCTTTTTGAGATATACTCCAAGAGCCATGAACCTTATTATGACTTTTCCCTCAAGTGAGCCTTGTGATGATTCTATCTCTTTGAGAACAACGACTTTAGGCCACCATATCGCACACATTGGTTCTGGCTTTTTGTAAATCAGATCAGCACTTGAAGTGGGACTTGTCTTTCGCTCTATCAGCTCTCTATCGGACACCATGCCCCTTCTACTATGCCGTCAAACGCCAGTCCCATGTTTATCCTTACAAAGTGTACAGAGGGGGTTGTTTGTACAATGTTTTGTTTTTTCTCCATCCAACCCTGGTATCACCCGTTTCCAGCCCAACCTCCAAAACCTCCTTAGATGGCACGCTCCTGCTCTTCCACTGGTGGATCCCAAGTCTCTAATGACTTGAGAATGCGTTGGTACAAGAACAGCATGGTGCCGCTCTGAATAAAAGTCCAGACACCACGGGGACCCACGCCCCTGAACCATCCGCTGAGCCCCTCCGTCTGGTAAATGACTTTGAGACCTTCGATGACGGACGAGGTCTGCAAGTTGACCGCGCCTGGTCGCGGGGTATGCGTCGAGGGTGAAGACGTTGAAATGTTGCGCGTCTGAGATTTTGACGTTGAAGCGTGCGCAGCGCCCTTGACCACCGGCTTCATCTCCTTGGGCAACAGATCAGGGTGCACCTGCGTCTGCAAACGCGTCTTGACGACGTCCAGAGGACATGTCATAATGCCAGCCAGGCTGCCGGCGAGACCGCCGGTAAGGAGCTCCAGCGGCACACCAACATCTCTGCTCTGCTTGTAGGTGCGTGCCCAGGCGTGAAATTGCTCCCAAAACATAAACTGAAGTGCTGAAAATGGGAGGTCACGGGCCAGTGTTGCTTGGTAACCGTGGAAGAGCGCAGCCGGTCCTTCGTGACGGACAATTGTCCGCGCCGCATCAACGGTTCCTCTGTAGTTGTAGCCCGATTTGAAATAGGGGTTATTATACCGTCCTTGCAACTGCAAGCGGGTCTTTAACACCTCGGATGGAACGTAAACGATGGAGCCGGCTAAATCTCCGAGAAAGCCTTGAAAACAGTCAGTTAGTTAGTGTCTCTCGACAGCACAGCGCGAGGATCGACGAACCAGCTGTGAGGTAGGCCAGGTGCTGTTGCACACCATGGTCGATGAGAAACCGTTTACTCCATTCGTACGTCCCAAAAAACATCATCGTGCCCGGAAGGGAACCACCCAAAGCCGGTATCCATCCGCCGTAAAGACCTCGTCGGACGCCCTCTTGCCGTAGTATCTTGTAGTATGACGAGCCCAGAGACGTGTATTTTGGCGGTATGTGCGGGTCGCCCTGTTGCCGCGTCTTGACCGTGTCCAGGGAGTGCATGAGCATGTCGCCCGTCGAACCTCCGACACCTCCAGCAATCATGGCGTGGAGGTAAGGCGGGCGGCCCTCCTCTTCGAAAGAGTCGTCTTGTAAGCTCATATCCTCCTGTCTAAAAGATTGTCCGACTGTTCTGATATCCGGCAAAAGTCCTCCCGTCTGTACCGCATATCTATCCTCCTCGAACGAGGCCGCCGCCGCCGGGGTCGAAGCCGAGATGCCCCCCTGAATCGTTTGCGCGTTATTGTCGGCCGGAGCTAGGGAGCTGACGATGCGGTCAGCGACGGACATTTGCGAGTGATGCCTGTCGTTGTTTGACCAGGCACTCTCTGGTCTGCGTCAAGGGTTCGGTCCCTCTCGGTCCTGAAATGCTGACGTCGGTCGGTTTCGATGTCGAAGGGGGGAAGAGAGATTCGCGGTTGGGCACTGGTGAGTTCCCGCTGCGGGACGACAGAAGAAATAACGCAGTAAATGGGCTTCGAGGGGAAATTGAAGGAGAGGCCTCCTCGTTGTTGTTTGTCGCGTGGGTTAATTGGCGCAGTCAAAAACTTGGCGGCGGCGAGGAGCAGCAGCTGCAGATAATGATATCGAAATTTCATGCAGGGTTCCCGACTCTGGGAATTTTTGTTGGTGGTGCACAGACCACATGCAATGCTGTACTCCCGCTGCGTCACCGTCGGGTGAGCTCCCGTCTCTTTCTTTCATCAGCTGCAAGTGTCGACTGAATCAGCCGGACCTAAGGCCCTGAGCTGAAAGCCCGGTCCCGAGAGCTCCGAGCTGTAACGCGGGACAGCCCGCGCCGCTTCAAAGATGGCGGGATTTTGAAATGCCCGGACTTAAGGACCAGATAGATCAATCGTCATTAGAAACAATCCGAATACTCAGAGGGGAGTTGAAGTTGAAAGTACCCAGTCGTTGACCAACTACCTCATGGTATACATAAACTTTTGATGGCCCTGTAACCCAAATCC